TATTTGTTGAAATAAAAGATCAGGTTGATGGCTAATGTCAAGGCATTCCTTGAGGGTGACACATACCCCAGAACTTTCAGGAAGAGTAGAGCGATGTTAAAATCTAATTCTGGGTTTTCAGAAAGCTGACAAGTTTGCAGAAAGGCTGAGGCTCAGAGCCAGAGAGCATGCTTTTTATGCAAAAGATTCGCAGCGTCTTCAAGTAGGAGGACAGGAAAAGACGCATGTCTGAAGCGTTGGAGAGTCACTGCTAGTCAGTGTAAATAGACAATACTGTGCTTGACGGACCAGTGGACTGACACGGTATAACTTCGTAGCTTTGTAATGTACTTATCCTAAACCTTGGGTTAGGTACTTAATTCATTCCGGAGGTCCGTACTTAACCTGAAACTGTTCTTAACCTGAAGCACCACTTTAGCTAATGGGGCCTCCTGCTGCTGCCACACTGCCAGAGCATGATTTCTGTTCTCATCCTGAAGCAAAGTTCTTAACCTGAAGCACTATTTCTGGGTGTCTGTAAACTGAAGCGTATGTAACCTGAAGCGTATGTAACCTGAGGTACCACTGTACTGTCAAAACCATATGTCCTCAAAAGAGCAGATACCCATTCCCCCCCCCCCATGTATAAGACGCCCCCATGTATAAGACAACCCCTATTTTTTTTTAACCCAAAATTAAGAAATTAAGTAGTTTAGATTTTTGAGATGGTGGGGGAGGTCACTTCCGCCAATCACTCATCCACCTGCCCGCCACTGCCAATTGCACACCTTACCGCAGCCACCAATTGTCTGCCCGCTTGCCACCACCAACAGCCCACCTGCCCACTTGCTGCAGCCGCCAATCGCCTGCCCGCCTCGCCACAGTCACCAATTGCCTGCCCAATTGCCACAGCCAATCGCCAGCAGGCCTTGCCGCAGCCACCGATCACCCGCCCAATCGCCGCTGCCAATCTCTTGCTTGCTGCTGCCATTAATCGCATGCCCCCCCCCTGCATTCACTATCCGTGTATAAGATGACACCCAATTTTTGCCTATTTTTTTTAAGCAAAAAGCATCGGAAAAATACGGTAATATGCACAGATTGTATATGTTTCAAACGAGCTTTGACACTTCGGCATCCAACCTTCCTGCATTCTGTTGGGACCGCTACAGCCCTCGCAGTGGCCAAGCAGTGATTCTGCAACAGAACAGGATTTAAACATGGGTTCGTTTTTTAAAAAAATTAATTGTTATACTCGTCGTCGTATTATATTGAGCCTTTTGTGTATTTTTGTGGTTTTGCTTGGCGGGCCGCCTAGAGAAGACTCATTAAGGGTTGGCTGGATAAATGCAGAAAATAAACAAGCAGATTAATAGGGCAGAGGGCAGGAGTAAATAATCTTGACATGCCTTCCGGATCAGAGGTTGCTAGAGAAAGCAAGGATCTGCCCAGATATATTTAGCAGCGGCCAAGCATGTTTTGCTGCAAGACAACTATCCCCTTTTACTTACTCTCAGCATCTAGTTATCTGAGGTAAATTATCTGAGGTAAATTCATGGAGGTTGCATTCTGGACCCCTCCGGACTAGTGGAGTTTTTTTTTGGCAGGGATATGTAATTGACACAATAATAGTGCGTTCATTATGGATTTATGCTGGACCATCCCCACCTCATTCCGCTTTGTTAGCTGTTCTGCTACGCTTCCCCAATGTTAGCACATTATTGCTGTCTGGAAGGGCACGCCTGACCTGTAGCACAACAAAAGTGGAATAGCAACTTGCCCACCCCCAGAATATTTGTGGCATAAAAAGTTGCAGGATTTCAGAAGGAAGTTACAGGATGTGCAGTCAGTGACTGGAAATGGAGCAGTATTTCTGCCCTGAAACTTGTCCAGGCGTGAGCAGTGTTGGAAGAGGGATTGTGCAGAACTTTCCTGATATCAGGAGCACAAGTGCACACAAAAAAGACGTAAGCTGTCATGATGCCATGTTGCCTGTGAAGACCATGTGGAGTAGCATAACCTAGATTAATGAAAAATGATGGATTTGAGACAGATCACATGAACACCACCTTGGGTCGCTCGAGGCAGGAGTCAAACTCCGCTTTCCTGACATTGTTTACTAGACAGCGCTGCACAAGGGAGTGCAAAGGACCATATGGACAGGGAGCCGTGTGACCAGGATCAAACTCTCTCTGAGACTTCCCAAATAACCTTTCAGGAGGAGAGGCACGGCCCTGTATCACGCATGTATACACCATGATGACTAAGGAGGAACATGACAGACATTCATTATACAGTGGTACCTCAGGTTAAGTACTTAATTCGTTCCGGAGGTCCGTACTTAACCTGAAACTGTTCTTAACCTGAAGCACCACTTTAGCTAATGGGGCCTCCCGCTGCCACCGCGCCGCCGGAGCATGATTTCTGTTCTCATCCTGAAGCAAAGTTCTTAACCTGAAGCACTATTTCTGGGTTAGCGGAGTCTGTAACCTGAAGTGTATGTAACCTGAAGCGTATGTAACCTGAGGTACCACTGTATTGTTAACAGCCAAATTATCCATTCCTTTCGTGATGTTGGAGCACAGTTTCACCTGATCGCTTTATCCGGCCTCCACAGGGCCATTTTTTCAGCAGGAACTTCAGCCTTAGATGGGTGGTGTTATGTACTGAAGTTCTCACCCTGGGCCAGCAGGGGGATACTGTAGATAGTTTTCACTCAGGTCTACATATGCAAATAAGGGATTGAAAGTGACATTCAGTGATTGGATAGTTACGGAAAGTTGTTACAGTTCCGTTGTACTGGAGCTCTATATAAGCAGGCTGGCTGAACCCTTCAGTTCTGTTCTGTTCTCGCCTGTGAATAAACAAGAGCCGTTTGAAGAATCGCTGTGTCGTCTGATATGTTCACCTACAACTTAACAGGTGCCATTGCCATTCTAAGAGAACTAAAGATCTTTGCTTCTTCCAGTACACTGCATTAGTTCGCCTGTCTTCCCAAGTGATGCGTATTTTTTTCCGGAGACACCGTTGAAGAAATCTTTTGAGGAGTTGGAAGTAAGAGTTTATAAGTGGACCATGTTTCACAAGCGTACAGTAAGGTTGGTAGTTCAATAGCTTTGTAAACAAGCATTTTGGTTTCCCTGCGAATTAACCATTAGTACTTCGAAGCCCCCACAGAACTGAGCATTAGAATCCAAGTGAAAAAAGGAGGCTGTTTTGAGGAACTGCAGAATGAGGAGAGATGCCCTAAGACTGGATTTTAAATTTTAAATATACTTCCCCCCAAAAACCTGAAGGCTTTCTGTTGGGGTTGATGGGGAAAGAAATTAAAAAGATGGACCAAAGATTTTTTATGTATGCCACAGCTGCAGCAAGAAATATGCTGGCCCAGAATAGGAAAACACAAGAAATACCTACCATTGCAGAATGGCAGGTGAAGATGATGAGCTACGCAGAACTAGCCAGATTGACGGGAAGAATTCGAGAGCAGGATGAACAGAAGTATCAAGAAAGTTTGAGTAAATTCCTCTTATAACTCTTACAACGTATGGCAAATATAAGTTAAATAAATAGAATACGCGATATAAGAAAACATAGGATGCTCGCTGAAAGGGTGGAGGGAAGTCATAAGCTCGGCAGAGATAAGGTAATAATGTGATTTATGTGTATTACAATTGTATGTGTAAAGAAAACAATAAAAAATTATTGGAAGGGGGGGGGGAAGAAATGACTGTTCTAGAATCTGGACTCCCTCCATGCAGACTGAAGGCATAAATAGGTAAATAAACCACATTTCTTAAAGCTACGACAATATCCACGTGTCTCAATTCTCCAAAAGAGCACAGTCCCCAGGTGATTTTCCTGGAACCGCACAGGCTCTTGCCACCCGACTTTTGCAACAGTATTTTTTAACGATATTGCTATATACCCACATGTTTCTGTATCAAGACACATTATCCAGGGTTATTCTTCCCCCAGTGTTGTACTGTGCTACTGTTGTAAACAAAAAATGCCATTTTCCCTTATGGGGTATCCAAGAGCCCATATAGAGTCCTTACATAGGTTCCCTATCGGTAGGAGAAAATAACAGAGGCCAACCAAATAATATTGAGAAGCAAAGCAGCTAGTAAGCCTGATCTTTATTGATCTGTTGCAACAGGGTCCTCACTCACCACACGAAGGAGGGAGGAGGAGCCCAGAACAATGGCGCCCAAGGCCTTATACAGTGGTACCTCGGGTTAAGTACTTTATTCGTTCCGGAGGTCTGTTTTTAACCTGAAACTGTTCTTAACCTGAAGCACCACTTTAGCTAATGGGGCCTCCTGCTGCCGCCGCGCTGCCGGAGCCCGATTTTTGTTCTTATCCTGAAGCAAAGTTCTTAACCTGAAGCACTATTTCTAGGTTAGCGGAGTGTGTAACCTGAAGCGTATGTAACCTGAAGCATATGTAACCCGAGGTACCACTGTATGGACTTTTGAAATTGCCACCCTGTAGATCAAGACCACCCCTCAGCTACATCATACCTACATCACAGAAAAGGCAGTCTAAAACAGAAATTTGAATGTTTTCTCCTGTCGTTGTTTATCTCCTGTCTGGCAGGGGGCAGGTTACTTGACTGGATACCCTGCTTACTAGATTGGATTGCCTGGGGAGCCTTGCCAGTCTTTTGTAATGATAAATGCTGGGTTCCTGGGCCAGGTCACAGGTTCACACCCTATTCAAACACAGACATACCCTTAAGACAAGATTTGTGAAGGAAAAGACAATGGGGAGGCTTTTCCATTTTCCTTTGACCTTGCAGAGAGAGCATTTGGTCAGTTTGGGACAATTTGGGAATCAAAAATGGTTCCAGGTCGGTCTTCCTGTGCTGATCTATGTATGTGCTTGGTTGGTACACTTATGAACATTACCATATATCTAAGACCTCAAAATTCCTATCACACTACTGTTTCTCTACAGGTTGCAGCAAAAAGCCAGCTTAAGCAGTTCCCTCGCATCCCCCCCCCAAGCCTAACCGAAACTACTACTCCCAGCATGCATAGCGAAAGGCCGGCCGCCTCTCCAGTATTTTTGTCCTCGCCAAAGGAACAGACTGACCAATTAGGAGAAGCCCAGAGGCGCGCGTGATAGGCCAGTCCACCAATGGGAAGCGGGCGAAGGGGCGTGGCCGGGAGATTTGAACTGGCGAGTCGAAGGAGGCAGAACTGCGTGCAGGATCTCGGTAAGGGGACATAGAAAGAATGTGTTTAGGGGTGCTTGCTTTTTATTGCCGTGGGGGGGGGGCCGAGGAAAATATACTGTATATAATATAGGATTCTGTCTGGTGACCACACGGTACGAGGATTATCTTGCATCGTCGACTGAACAGCCTTTCCTGCTTTTAGTGCCTTCGGCGGCTGCAATGCGCAGAAAACAGATCGGGAAGTTTTATACAGCGTGGAGATCTATCAATGTCTGAGGAACATCCTGCCCTTGATGGATCTCCATGTTGCGAAGAAAGAAAGAAAACTCCCCGACAGGCTCTTGGTATTCAAGCTGCCGTTTAAAGGCATAGGAGCAGGGGCTGGTTAAAACGTTGGCAACTAATGGGAGGCACTGGGGTGGGGGTGGGGTGGGTTTTGCATGAAGACCTCACCAAGGGCCGAGGGATCCAACAGATCGTCTTTCACAACCGCAAAACAATATTATAAAACAGGTTCTCAAGCTCCCTGAGCCTGTGACCACTTGAACATTGCCAGGAATGTCAGTGGATCGTGTAATAATCTCTTTTTTTGGGGGGGTAGGGGGGTGTTCTATGCTGAACAAACACTCATTTTTGCTCCTGGGTTAAATATGGAATTAAAAATGAGTATTCCCCCGACCCCTCTTGCATGGGGATTGTTGTAAAAACTAGTGACATATGAAAAAGAAAATCGTGCCCTAAGGCCAAGCTGCTGGTTACCCCCCCCAGGGGGAAATTAGCCTTGTTAGCCTGTTTGATCTGACCATCCTCAAAATAGCCTCATGTTTCTTCAGAAGAAACAAATCCAGTATAGGGCCAAGAATATATATTTTGTGGCTATTCTGCAAAATCTCCTTGGCTTTTCTGAACAGAGCACCACAGACCACAGTCTGCGTTTAGAATGTTCACCACACATCAAATATAATATACATTTCAAGCCAAACTGTCGTGAGAGAACTGTGAACAGGATCTCCTGGGGCTTTTTGATTTGTCTGTTTTTATAAATGTTATTAGCTGCCCTGAGACAGGGGGTTCAGATTAGGACCCAGGTTCAGCGAGTGAGAGAGTTAACTTTCCCCTCTTACGCTGTTTTCCCAGTCCACATAATTCTCCACAGTCAAGCTGCTGTTTGTCCCTTAGTGTAAAACACAGTATCTGTATGTTTTTGCTTCCCTTCCATTTGCAAACATATGAAAATATCCTGATACCAGCTTATTAATTTTAGAGAATGAAGGACTGAACTAATCTATATTGACTTGACCAACGGTGCTAAGCCACTTGGTGATACAGGATCATTCCAGATATTCCCAGTCCCCTGGTATTTTTAAATGCAGGAGCAAATGTATTTTATCCAATGATAGCTTTACTCTAGCAGATACTTGATTTTTGCTAATCCTGTTGCAGTCCTCTGCACCACTGCTAAAAACATGACTGCCATACAAAAACTGCTTTTTATTTATTTACTTACTGACATTGCAACCCTAAGAATATCTTATCAGAAGTAAACCCTATTGAATTAAATGGGGCTTACTCCCAGTAAGTGGATTTAGGATTGCAGCCTTGTCTATTCGGCCCCCATCACACAGTGATGTTGGCTCAGGCCACAACAGCTTAAAATATAAATAATAAGAACAAGAATCAAATGCAGTTTCAGATGTGGATAGTTCAGTTGGTTAAAGTGTGGTGCTGATAATGCCATGGTTGGAGGTTCAATCCTCGGAATGGACAGCTGCATATTCCTGCCTTGCAGGGGGTTGGACTAGATGTCCCTTAGGGTCCCTTCAAACTTCTGCGATTCCAAAAACGTGCTGCTCATATTCCCTCTGTTAAATATGATAGGCCATGCCAAAATATAACAACAGATAGTGGTAGAAAACCAGGATATATATAGGTAACGGTAAAGGTGACCCCTGACCATTAGGTCCAGTCATGACCGACTCTGGGGTTGTGGCACTCATCTCGCTTTATTGGCCGAGGGAGCCGGCGTACAGCTTCCAGGTCATGTGGCCAGCATGACTAAGCCGCTTCTGGTGAACCAGAGCAGCGCACAGAAACGCCGTTTACCTTCCCGCCGGAGCAGTACCTATTTATCTACTTGCACCTTGACGTGCTTTTGAACTGCTAGGTTGGCAGGAGCAAGGACCGAGCAACGGGAGCTCACCCCGTCGCGGGGATTTGAACTGCCGACCTGATCGGCAAGTCCTAGGCTCTGTGGTTTAACCCACAGCACTACCCGCGTCCCTTTAGAATATATATATATAACAGATTTGTTGAATAGATTTTGAAAGCAATGATTCAAAGTATTAATCCATTAGACTTCAGTTTTTGTTTTCGGCTTTCCCCTTGAAAGGAATTCTAAAATGTTGGATTTGCAGTTCTCAGAATTGCTAAATGGTGACTTTGCACAGCACTTCCTTTCAGCCACATGTGGCCCCCGCTAGACATTTCCCATTTTCCTCAGTTTCAGGATGTTTCTGATCTGCTCCGATCTGTCCCTGAAGACATAAATTGAGCCCTTTAGAAACGATTTTGTGAACATGGCCTGAATCCCGAAGTAGAAGTGAAGGCACTGCCTTACTACAAAGCCGTCAGAAGTGATTGCTCTTTTCAGAGAGGACAGCTGTTATTAAAACCCACATTTATAATCTTGCAACAAATGAATGCATTGATTAGCCGGTACAATCAATCAATGAGTGCCTTTGGCCGTTAATCCCTTGTGGCTGAACAGGGCTGTAAATTTGTTGCCTTAGTAGCATTAAAGCAAGACAAATTTATCATCCTGTGTTCAGTTGCTGGGCTCTGAACTTCAGGAAGGTTGTTGAGACATTGTGAAGGACTCAGAGGAGAGTTAGGTGGTTGGCTGGCATGTGGCTGGTTATTTGCTACTTCCCTGCTTACTGGAGCATTCTCTGTGAATGAATAAATGACATATGAAATTGCAATTTGTTTATCTCACCATCATCTCCTTATGCAAACTTACCGTATTTTTTGCACCATAACACTCACTTTTTTCCTCCTAGAAAGTAAGGGGAAATGTCTGTGCGTGTTATGGAGGGAATGCCTACGGGTGGCATGCCTACGGATTTTCCTCCTCTAAAAACTACATGCGTGTTATGGTCGGGTGCGTGTTATAGAGCGAAAAATACGGTAGGTTGACTCGTGTATGCATGTCCCCAGGGTTCCCAACTGCACTATACATTTACAGAAGTATCATACCACTATAAGCAATCATGGCTTTCCCCTTTGTTAGGTGACTCCTCCTTCTTCTTTGGCGATCACTCGTAGCCGAGTAAGATTGTCTTCCATAAACACGATTTTAACAATGAGTCCGTAAGTGACTGTGGAGGCCAATTCTGGATCCACATGTCCCTCCACAGTGGGGACATAGGTTTCCAGGCAGGAATTGACCACGGTGTGGCCAAGTGTGGCTTCCTCTTAGCACGTTTCTCCCTTGCATCCTAAGTCCGAGTGTCTTCAAAGCCCATGAAACCTTTGGTAAAGGCTGTTCTCCAATTGGAGCGCTCGCAGGCCAGTGTTTCCCAATTGTTGGGGTTTATACTACATTTTTTAAAATTTGCCTTGAGGCAGTCTTTAAACCTCTTTTGTTGACCGCCAGCATTGTTCCTCTCCCAGAGCTATAATTCCCATACAGTGGTACCTGTTCCGGAGTACCGTTCGCATCTAGAAGCAAACGTAACTAGTGATGGCAGGTCTGCGCATGTCGCTTTTCGCTGCTTCTGCGCATGCGCGTGACGTCATTTTAACCGTCTGCGCATGCACAAGCGGTGAAACCCGGAAGTAACGCACTCCGTTACTTCCGGGTTGCCGCGGAGCACAACTCGAACGCGCTAAAACCGAGGCGCATTCAACCTAAGGTATGACTGTAGTTCCCTGGGAAGAAGGATGGATTGTTAAACCAACTGGGGCAGAGGTTTTCTACCTTTTTGAGTCCACTGCTCTCTTGACCAACCACGTTCTTTCTGTGGCACCCCCATGGGGCTCAGGAGCCCAGTTATGTCACCCTTTGCCTGCAGAGCTGGCAGCCTCTCACCCTTTTTTTGAACACCCTCCCTTGTGGAATGTTCCTTCAGCCTCCTTCCCTCTCCTTGGGAGTCCTCCAAGCTGCTCCCACCACCACCTTCTCAAGCCGCCCCACAGGAGCCTGGGAAAAGGATGCCCATGGCCCTAGTGGCCCAATGGAGACTGGCCAAAGGTGAGGCCAGCACCTTACTTTGGGTGGCAGCAGCAGGCGCTGTCAGGCCTGCATGGCGGAAAGGCTCTCCTCCAGCACCGGGCACTCAGCTCCCAGGCAGGCATTGCACACAGCAAGCCCAAGTAAGGCTGGCGCAGTACCTGCCTGCCTGCCCGGCCTCCGACTTGTCTGTCCATTTCTCAACAGCAAGGGCTGGCAGACTTACTGGCTGGACTTCCTCACCCACTGGCCTGCTTGCTCCGAGGCCTCTCATCTCCTGGCATCAGCAACCCCTGGCCAGGCCCCAGAGGCATCATTTGCCTGGGGAGCTTGTAGACAGGGCTGCTGCAGCAAACAGCTGGACAAGCCTTTGGGAGGCAAAGATGCGAGAGGGCATCAGAGGAGGGAGGGAAGGAAAGAGGGATAGAGGCCAGCATTGCCCATGGCACCCCTGACCATCATTCAAGGCCCCAGCGGGAAGGTAAACAGTATTTCCATGTGCTGCTCTGGATCGCCAGAAGCAGCTTGGTCATGGTGGCCACATGGCCCAGAAGCTGTCTGCAGACAAAGGCCGGCACCATCAGCATATAGAGCGAGATGATCGCGCAACCCCAGAGTCGTCTGCGACTGGACTTAACGGTCAGGGGTACCTTTACCTTTACCTTTAATAACTCTCAACACGCTACAGTTCCCGGGGGAAGTCCTATCTTTTTTAAGTGGTACAATATTGTTTTAAACGAGGAATGTGGATGTGGCCAGGTTTGGAGAGTTTCTTCAAGAGCAATTCAGCACCCGCTCAGAATCAACAGGGATGTGAAGACTCTGGCGCTGCACATGTTGACATGCTCCTGTCCTCTCTCTTTAAAATATTTTTATTAGGAATCTCAACATAACAAATTATCAAACCATATAATAGCGTACATTATCCCCCCCCGTTCCCCCTCCCTTTCATCTGTCCCTCCCCTCCCCTTCCAAAGACTTCCCTCAGCTCCTCTCTCTGATTTCTCCGCACATGTTATTCTCTGCATGTTATAAAATTTTACATATCCTTACATTATCTATCTAACATGTTATCGACCAATAAATTTATGTATGTTTATACAAAAGCTGCCAAGGAGTCCAGTTCATTTTGTTGTCTTTTTAGAAGCTCCCATTCTTCCTTGAAGCCACAGTTGTCCTTGTCCCCAATTTATATGTCAATTTAGCCAACTCTGCGTAACTTGTCAGTTTTTCTTGCCGCTGTTCTTTCGTTGGGATTTCCTCATTCTTCCATCCTTGTGCTAGCAAGACTCTTGCCGCTGTTGTAGCATACGTAAATAAATTCTTTGTTTTTCTTGGCAGGTCTTGTCCTACAATCCCTAACAAAAATGTCCTCTCTTTGACACAGAGCCCTGAAGCCATGGCGCACGTCCCGCCCGCCGGAGAGGGCAGCGTGGCGGTAGTGGTGCGGGTGCGGCCGCAGACCCCCCGCGAGCGGGAGGGGAACCGCCAAAGCGTGGTGCGGGTGGTCGGAGACTCTATGTTGGTGTTTGATCCCGAGGAACCCAGCCCGCCGGGGGTCTTTGCCCAAGCTCAGGACCCTCCGTCGAAAAGGAAAGGAAAGAACCTGACGTTCGCTTTTGACCGGGTGTTTGGCGAGAGCGCTACCCAAGCAGAGGTGTTTGAGAATACGACCAAAGAGATCCTGGACGGTGTTCTGAATGGCTACAACTGTTCAGGTAAGGAGGCTGGAGTGGTGGGGCTTTCACTTGGCTCTGCCGTCGAGACAGGCAGTCTTCAAGGCCGTGCCGTAGATAACCATAGATAAAGGCTAGAGCCATGATTCCCAATGTGGGGCACACGCCCCACAGGGGGGCAATTTGATTTTTAAGGGAGGCAGTTCGAGAATGAGTTATTAACAGCAATTTTTTTGCATTTCTTATGGTTCTAGGGGACTCACATACAGTATGTAAATACCGTACTTTTCCATGTACAGTGGTACCTTTGGATGCGAACAGGATCCGTTCCAGAGCCCCGTTCGCATCCAGACGCGAATGCGCGTCTGCGCGGGTCGCAATTCGCCACTTCTGCGCGTGACGGCATTTTGACCATCTGCGCATGCTTGAGCGGCGAAACCCAGAAGTAACGCGCTCCGTTACTTCCAGGTCGCCGCAGCACGCAACCCGAAAATACTTATCCCAAAGCTACTTCAACCCGAGGTATGACTGTACAGTGGTACCTCGGGTTAAGTACTTAATTCGTTCTGGAGGTCCGTTCTTAACCTGAAACTGTTCTTAACCTGAAGCACCACTTTAGCTAATGGGGCCTCCTGCTGCCGCCACGCCACCAGAGCACGGTTCTTGTTCTCATCCTGAAGCAAAGTTCTTAACCCGAGGTAATATTTCTGAGTTAGCGGCGTCTGTAACCTGAAGTGTATGTAACCTGAAGCATATGTAACCCGAGGTACCACTGTATAAGACTAGATTTCTTTCTTTAAAAATTATGCTAAAAAGCTGGGGTCATTCTATACATGGATAGTGCATAGGGTGGACATTTGATTGATTGCTGCCACGGCTGTCAGCGGCTATTGGGCGTGTTATTGGTTGCTGCGGCAGTGGCTAGTGTTGATTGGCTGATGCTGCGGTTATTGGGCGGGCGATGGGCAGCTTCTGCCGGCGAGGGGACAGACGAGAGGCGGATTTTGCAGCGCGTGCGGGTGAGCAATTTTTGGCAATCCCCTTAAAGGACGCTCAACAACCCTGGGTAAAAACCCCCCAAGAAAAGCTCAGCGACTCTGTGCCATCTCCCCCTATTTTCTTAAATTTGAGTCTTATACATGGGGGCGCGTTATACACGGAAAAGTACGGTAAATATTGTGACACACATTTTTAAAATTAAAATCGGAACGTACACGGCAGTCAGCTGGTGATAATGGAGAGGTTATCTAAACAGAAAATACACTGGGTGCATTCGGGGAAGTAGCGCTCCGGGAGCGCTCAGTCAACAGTTTTGGAATTTCCCCCTGAACGCAACGCTCCGTAGCTGTTCATTTAGAGCAGTTGCCATTTGGGGGGGAAATTCGCAATTTATCAACGAGGGAATGTAAGACGCATTCTCGTGGGTCCCATGCTTTATAAGCGAGGCAAATATAATAATTACTGCTATAGAACTCTAAATACAAATGGTAAGTGTATCTAAAGTATTAAATAGACTTCAATCACAATCCTTTGGAAGATTGTTTAGACCAAGTTAATGGCCTTTTAGGCTTCCCACGCGTGAATAGTTCACTTTTTGAATAATAAGAATTATATGTCCGGGGGGCGCGGGGGAGGCATCAGGATTTTAGAGTTGCTTAGGTGGAGCATGGCCAAAAAAAGTTGGGAACCACTAGACTAGAAAGAGGCGCCATTTGGCAGTTATGGGACGGAATTGGAAGCCACCCTTGGCCAGTGTTAGAAACTCAGATATATAAGCTAGACCCCAAATGGCTCCTTGAACCAGGGTTACAGTCGGCAAAATGGAATACCTAGTTGCCGTTTCTGGTCCAGACGGCTCAAAAGTTAAATTTTTCAATATGACTTTTTGCTTCCGATTGTGCAGACATAACGGGTAGAATTCTACAGGATGTGTTGTTTATAGAGTGTGAAAACAGTCGAGACCCAAGAATTCCCAGGCAGGCACCTCCAGATGCCTGGAGTCAGCTGGCAGACATCCTAGCGCCTGGGTATCTTCACTTGGTTGCAAGAGGCTGATAGCCAGGTGCAAAATGCGCCTGGCAAATTTTGAACGTTGGCCATGACTGTAAGTGGACCAGATGGCAGGGGCATTGCCCCGTCTCCACCTGTGGGTCATGTCCAGACAGCACTGGTGTCTAGCATGGAAACTGATTTTTATTTGTGTGACCCTCAAAGATGACTGGAGCAGGAGAGGTACTCCTTCAGGTACAGTGGTACCTTGGTTCTCAAACGCCTTGGCGCTCAAAACAACTTGGAACCCAAACACTGCAAACCCGGAAGTAAATGTTCCGGTTTGCAAACTTTTTTCGGAAGCAGAACATGCTCCGTTTTGAGTGTTACGCTTCCGATTTGAGTGCCACACTTCCGTTTTGAATGTTATGCTGAGGTCTGTCTGGTTTTGCTATTTGTTTTGCGTTTTTGTGGCTCTTTTTTGTTTTGTTTTTGTGACTGTGTGGAACCCAGTTCAGCTACTGATTGATTGCGTGACTGGAGTACATTGTTTATTGCTTTCATTTTATGGATCAATGGTCTCGTTAGATAGTAAAATTCATGTTAAATTGCTGTTTTAGGGGCTGTTTTTAAAAGTCTGGCACGGATTAATCCGTTTTGCATTACTTTCTATGGGAAAGCGCGCCTTGGTTTTGGAACGCTTTGGTTTTGGAACGGACTTCCAGAACGGATTAAGTTTGAGAACCAAGGTACCACTGTACGTTGGCCCCAGGATTTGAACGGCCAACCAGCATCTGTTAGTGATCCAGGTGGTTCAATGCACATCCCTGATCCTTAGGGTCTGACTCAGTGGCTGTGGCCTCCTTCTCTTTCAGTGTTTGCCTACGGTGCGACGGGTGCAGGGAAGACCCACACCATGCTGGGATCGGAGAAGGAACCGGGCATCATGTACTTCACCATGGAAGAGCTATACAAGCAAATAGAGGCCAGGAAGGGGGAGAAGCACTGCGAGGTCCTTGTCTCCTACCAGGAGGTACCACCCTCGCCCATTTCTTACAGCTTTTTTCTACCTTAGGCTGCAGAGAGATGCAGTGTTCATAGCAGAGGTCAGACTGCCCCTAGCAGGAACCCAGTTTTGCAGTTTGACCTCCACGCATACAGATAGCGAAGTGGAAATTCTGGGTTTGCCCTCGGTCCTGTTCTCTTCCGAAGGACTGCCTGAAGTAGCAGATATGTGAGAACAGGGCCTTTTCTGTGGTGGCTCCCCGTCTGTGGAACGCTTTCCCCAGAGAGGCTCTCCAGGCGGCGTCATTACGTGCCTTTAAGCACCAGGCAAAAACATTCCTCTTTAACCATGCCCTTGGCCATTAAATAATCTTATAGCCTGTTAAAAGTGTTGGGTTTATTTTATTTATTTATTAGAAGAGCAATTGAGTGCTAAATCACTCCAGGAATTGTAGCTCTGGGAGGTGAATAGGGGTCTTCTAACAACTCTCAGCACCGTCAACAAACTCCAGTTCCCAGGATTCTTAGGGGCCAGGGGTCTGCAACCTTTAAGACAAAAAGAGCCACTTGGACCCGTTTCCGAAGGAAAAAAAACTGGGAGCCGCAAAACTCGTCATTATAAAAATAACTTTTTTGTCACTTTTTTATTATTTCTTTGTTTGACCCCTCAGAATTACTCCTCCTCATAGAAATAAACATTAAATTAACAAGTTACCTTTTTGTGTGTGTGTGTGTTCTTCACTCACCTTCAAAACAGTGACCAGCGTACATGCCCCCTTTCAATGCAGTGACCAGTGTACGTGCCCCTTACAATGTAGTGGGCGGGCGGGAAGGTGACGTCAGGACGGTGCATGACTAACGCACGCACCGCCCCCAGTACAGTACAGCCAGTACAGCGCCCGCCACAGTGGGGAGTGTCGGGGCGCACAGTGCGCCTCCTCCCCTTGCTAGTATCCGCCCCAGAGCCGCGGCAAAAGTGTAAAAGAGCCACATGTGGCTCCGGAGCCGCGGGTTGCTGACCCCTGTTAGGGGGGAAGACAGTGACTTTTTAAAGTGGTATGATTCTGGTTTAAATGTACAGTATAGTGCAGATGGGGTCCAACACAAGAAAATGTCCTTTGCAGGGGGTTCTATGATTCTATGCATTATCATGGCACTGAAGGCAAGTTTCATACCAGCTTAGCTACAATCAAAAATGTCTTGTGCGTGTTTTCTCTCCTGGGGCTGCAACCTGATTAAAGGCATTTTAAATGATGAATAAATCGATTAATCTATTGATTAATTTTGCATATGGGTAAGACGCTACGTCTCTGACACGAGAGGGACACCTTTTGGGGGCTGTGACAAATAACCATGTGCCAGTAAAACAGCACTTTCCATTTGCAGAAGGCAAGACTTCTGATTTAGAGGAACCTCTGGAACAATATGGAATGCAGCAGGGACTCTGTGGCCCTCCAGATGTTCTCGGAATCCAACTCCCATCAACCCTTGCCAGCATGGCTGATGGCGAAGGATGCTGGGAGGTGGAGTCCACCAACATCTGGAAGGCCACAGGTTCCCCACCATCCCAGATATGGCACAGATAGGAAGCACAGAGACACCGACCAAGAAAGCTCTTTGCTATTAGATCACGCACACATGTTGCAGAAGACATCATCTCAGACGAGGAAAAAGGCCTTTGGAAGAGGGTGCTTTCACCTGCAGTTTCCATAAGTGAATTGTGTTTAAAAGTCACATTTTTTAAAAAAAACCCCAACCAGCTGCCTGATTAATTGGAGGCACCTTTTTAGTTGATTAAAAGCTTCGAAGCAATTGATCTAACTAATTAATCAATTAATCACTGCGGCCCGGCTTGTTGCAGTCCTTGGGCTCCTGCCCATGGCATACGAAGTGCAGCTCAGACCTGTAATATCTAGTTGGTTGGCAGAACTTCCAACTAGTGCGTTCCCCAGTTCAAAGGGAACCCCGTTTTTTACAGGGTAGCATGCCATGCTGCTGTGATTTTGGCAAGGCCGTTCCACGGACGGGAACTTTTCTTGGCTTGCGACCTGCTTTGGCTTTCCTCCCCCAAAAACAAAAAATCTGGAAAACTTTCCAGTTGATGGTTTGTTTCCCCATACGTGTTGCCTTGTTACTACAAAGTATTCAGGGCAAACCTACCCAAACTAGAGGCACAGATGAAACTACCATTAAAACAGCCAGATACGTTAAAAATCAAAAATAGATTTTGCTGCCAGGCTAACAGGGTTGGCACACAAGTGGCCAACATTGTGGAAAACTTTTGGGGAAAGTGTATTTCTGAGGTTTGATGGCTCATAACACCTGATTGGCTCTCTAAACTCTCATGTCCATTGGCTATGTTCAAATGAAGGAAAGGTCCTGCGTATCAGCATAAGCAAGTTGTGCTTCCTTTTTCTGGTTCTTTGGCTATAACTTTTGAAAGAATACAGGTGATGGAACAAACTTGGTTGCATTACACTCTTCATTAAAATATCTCTTCATTGATATATAATTTCCTGGTATCACTCCAAAAATAAGTGGTGTTATGAGCCATCAAACCTCAGAAATACACTTTTCCCAAAAGGTTTCCACAATTTTGGCCACTAATTTTTGGCCACAATGCAGGCACCAGGGCTGGGGAGGCCCTGCCCTGATTTTGCACGTCAGGCTTCATCAGAATTGGATGAAGCTACTTTTTAATCAGGACGCGGGTGGCACTGTGGGTAAAAGCCTCAGCACCTAGGGCTTGCCAATTGAAAGGTTGGCGGTTCGAATCCCCGCGGCGGGGTGCGCTCCCGTTGCTCGGTCCCAGCGCCTGCCAACCTAGCAGTTTGAAAGCACCCCTAAAGTGCAAGTAGATAAATAGGGACCGCTTACTGGCGGGAAGGTAAACGGCGTTTCCGTGTGCTGCGCTGGCTCGCCAGATGCAGCTTTGTCATGCTGGCCACATGACCCGGAAGTGTCTCCGGACAGCGCTGGCCCTCGGCCTCTTGAGTAAGATGGGCGCTCAACCCTAGAGTCTGTCAAGACTGGCCCATACGGGCAGGGGTACCTTTACCTTTACCTTTACTTTTTAATCGGCAGAGAACGAATGAACCTTTTAGTTCCCTCCCTGCCCACATCTAGATCACTAGATGCGCCCGAAAACTGATTGACTGGTTTATCTGAATTTAAGAAACATGACCAGCTTCCTGCAGCCTGAAAGAACAGGTGGTGACTCTCTTGCTGCTGAGATCAGGCGGGAGTTGTGCTCCTAGCTACAGTTTCGAGCTGATTTTCCAGCCATGATAGGGGTTGGAGCAAACACTCCAGCAGGAACACCAGATTGGCTCTGCTAGGGTATTTGCACCTCGCTAACTTCATCTCCCAGTGAGCGACAGCGACACACCTGCTGGAAAACTAGTGGCTCTGCCCCAGCTGGAAAACCACTTCTGAAGTGCTGACCCCCAGGAGACTTAAATGCACTGTATTAAAGCCCGATTCTTTCTTCCAGGTGTACAACGAGCAGATCCATGACCTGTTGGAACCGAAGGGCCCGCTGGCCATTCAGGAGGACCCAGAGAAAGGGGTCGTGGTACAGGGGCTGTCGTATCACCAGGTGGGTACGATGATTGCCTTGCAGGGAGGACAATATGGGGGGGATATATGTATATAGGGATGCGGCTGGTGCTGTGGTCTAAATCACTGAGCCTAGGGCTTGCCGATCAGAAGGTCGGCGGTTCGAATCCCCATGACGGGGTGAGCTCCCATTGCTCGGTCCCTGCTCTTGCCCAGCTAACAGTTCTAAAGCACGTCAAAGTGCAAGTAGATAAATAGGTACCACTCCGACGGGAAGGTAAACGGCGTTTCCGTGCGCTGCTCTGGTTTCGCCAGAAGCGGTTTAGTCATGCTGGTCACATGACCCAGAAAAAATGTCTGCAGACAAACGTTGGCTCCCTCGGCCAGTAAAGCGAGATGAGCGCCGCAACCCCAGAGTCGTTTGCAACTGGACTTAACTGTCAGGAGTCCTTTACCTTTACCTTTTTATATATGTACAGTGGTACCTCAGGTTAAGAACTTAATTCGCTCCGGAGGTCTGTTCTTAACCTGAAACTGTTCTTAACCTGAGGACCACTTTAGCTAATGGGGCCTCCCGCTGTTGCCGCCGCCACTGCACAATTTCTGTTCTCATCCTGAAGCAAAGTTCTTAACCCAAGGTAATATTTCTGGGTTAGCGGAGTCTTTAACCTGAACCGTATGTCACCTGAAGCGCATGTAACCCGAGGTACCACTGTACATATATGTAATTAAAGAGCCCATCGCTTGCTTACGGGATTTCTTCAGCTGCGGTGGGAACATGAAGGAGAAGTTACTATTTGTGGCTGCGGCACGTGCTTTTCTCAACAGTCTCTCTCTCTGCTGGCCTGTGACTCTTTTTTTTAATCCTTTATTGAAATTCATAGACATCATACAGTGTCTTAAATCCACACATACAAAGAAAAAAATAACCTTACATAAATTTACAGTTAAATATTAAATTACTCTTTCCACATGTTTTCTAACTAAACAGTCTCTCTTTCTCTCTGCTGGCCTGTGACTTTTAGCCAAAATCGGCAGGCCAACTCCTGGAGATGCTGAGGCGAGGAAATCTGAACCGTACACAGCACCCCACAGACATTAACGCCACCTCTTCGCGCTCCCATGCAGTCTTCCAGGTAAGTGTGGCAGAGATTGTTAGGGACCATATGCAACTTTGGCAGGGCACTGTAATTAGGAAGACAATCCTTTCCCTCTTCATACAGGAAATATTATTTCTGTCCCTCAATGTAGTGAAAGCTTTTTGTACGCTCATGATGATTTGTTCTTGTGATGGCATTTAGCCAGTCGTACACGATCCCACAAAAGGTTTTGGGGCGGTTACACAGCTTACTTTCAAATCGGTGATCGTCCTGTAACTTCCTGCTGAACTCCTGCAGCTTTTCATACCACAAATGCTGTGGTGTTTTTGTTTTGGTCGCACTTGCTTTGTGCTATAGTGGAAGACTGCCCCTCCAGATGGCAGTAGTGTGGTAACATCATGAAGCATCACGGAACTACTAATAAAGCAGCAATTAGTGACGCATTAGAAAACCACGAGTGATGCAGTATTATTGTGTCAGTGCTAAGTAGCAGAATACACCCATCGGAAAAACCCACCAGCCTGCAGAAGCTTAAAAAAAACACACAAAAAACCCCATCAAATTTTATTATTTTGGTCACAAACCAGTTCCAACTCACATACAATATCAGGGAAGTCATAAAACATGATAGGGATACATTTGACTTTGCAATTGGGTATAACAGGGACATGGGTGGCGCTGTGGGTTAAACCACTGAGCCTAGGGCTTGCCGATCAGAAGGTTGGCGATTTGAATCCCCGTGACCGTGTGAGCTCCCGTTGCTCAGTCCCTGCTCCTGCCAACCTAGCAGTTCGAAAGCACATCAAACTGCAAGTAGATAAATAGGTACCGCTTTGGCGGGAAGGTAAACAGCGTTTAGGTGTCTGCGGACAAACGCCGGCTCCCTCGGCCAATAAAGCGAGATGAGCGCCGCAACCCCAGAGTCGGTCATGACTAGACCTAATGGTCCTTTATAATAGGGACAATACAGATATATCAGCAGTTAAAAATATATAAGTTAAATCTTAATCACTAAAATATAACCTAAAATTGTCATTTAAGGCCTTAGTCATTATGGTAGCACAGCTTGTTCCCTAAGTTTTATGGCACCTGCACAGAGTTTGGCCTCCCTTAGCCTGATCTCTGGATCCTTGTCCTCTACCAGGGATTTTAGACATTGAAGTTCGGACCCATTTGGAGATTTTTGTATAGCAGGGGTGATAAATGCCGAGCGTATATCCCTGTGGAAACGACAGCGTAACAAGACATGAGAGACAGTTTCTACCTTTAATCTGTTGCCCTATGTGTGGCTTCCTGGAGATATTTTGTCTTGCCACTGTGGAAAATGGAGGTTAGACCAGATGGATCCTTGATCCGATCTGTATTCTTGTGGGGTAGGTAAAAAGGTAAAGGACCAGTCGAAGGCGACTCTGGGGTTGCGGCGCTCATCTCGCTTTCAGGCCAAGGGAGCCAGCATTTGTCCGCAGACAGCTTTTTGGGTCATGTGGCCAGCATGACTAAAACGCTTCTGGTGCAACGGGACACCGTGACGGAAACCAGAGTGCCCAGAAACGCCGTTTACCGTCCCGCCACAGCGGTACCTATTAATCTACTTGCACTGGCGTTCTTTTGAACTGCATTAAAAACTTCCCAATAACAGGACTGTCTTCAGGTGTTGTGTAGTTCTCCATCTCCTTGATATCTGATAGGAGGGCATTCCACTACCGAGATTGATCACAATCAATCAATCACTACCGAGAAGTCCCTCTGCCTGATTCCCTGTAACTTCACTTCTCTTTTTTTTTTTTTTTTTTTTTTGCAATACATTTTTATTCAAATTATACCAAAAAAATATACAAATAAACACACCGATAAGCATATCGGTATATATATAAGTACATATTTACATAATTTATTATTTCCCTTCCCCAAATTATACAAAAAATCATAAAAATAAAAAGAAACTCATAATATTTCGGGCTCTGCCGAGCCCTGGACTCCCCTCCACCCTTTTGGTAAGTATCAAATAAATTCCGCAGTCACGTATTTTGTTTTTATTCTTAAAAGTTAGTCACTCACTGTTAGGTTTATTCCAACCCCGCCAGTTTCCTTTACATATTGGTTCCAATATAATTCCAATATTTATTCCAATTTTCATGAAATTTCTGTTCATCTTGGTCTCGTATTCTAGCTGTCAGTCTAGCAAGCTCGGCGTACTTTACCATTTTCACCTGCCAATCCTTTATAGTGGGTATGGTTTCCATTTTCCAGTTTTGTGCCAGCATAATTCTTGCGGCTGTGGTGTCCAAGCCAAACAATGGAGGTGGAGATGCTCCTTCAGGTATACAGGGCCGAGGCTGTTTAGGGCTTTAAAGGTCAGCATCAACGCAGATTCAACTGGCTGTCTCCAGTTATGCTTTTCAGGAAGTTCAGTGCTCTTCCACCCACACCAAGGGATGCAGCACTTTCTAACTTTTTCAGATCCATGTGAAGCAACGGGATCGCATTGTGGGCATCACCCGGGACCTTCGGGTGGCCAAGATGAGTCTGATCGACTTGGCGGGCTCAGAGCGGGCCTCTGCCACCAAGGCCAAAGGGGAGCGGCGCCGCGAGGGGGCCAACATCAACCGCTCCTTGCTGGCTCTCATCAACGTCATTAACAGCCTGGCGGATGCCAAGGTAATGCCTTTGCTACTTCTTCCTGTCCCTGGGTTTATATTTCTGTGGTCTGCCCCTGGGTTTACTGTTCAGGGACATCCTCGGCCATTGTTAAAGGGCCTCTGAGTTCGCTCAGTGACAGTCATTCCTGCGTACATATTTTTATATAATAAAGTGTGTGTACAGTGGTGCCTCGCAAGACGAAATTAATTCGTTCCGCGAGTTTTGTCGTCTTGCGATTTTTTTCGTCTTGCGAAGCACGGTGTCAGGAAAGTTTTGGAAAAGCTTCAAAAATCACCAAAGTCTTCAAAAACCTCAAAAAGGCTACCACACCACTTGCTATGAGTTGCTCCTTGAAGTCAAGTCGCAACTGTATTAACAGTGTTAAGAAAAAGGAAACAAACTTGCAAGACGTTTCCATCTTGCGAAGCAAGCCCATAGGGAAAATCGTCAAAAAACCCTTTCGTCTTGCGAGTTTTCCGTCTTGCGAGGCATTCGTCTTGCGAGGTACCACTGTACAAAAATGCTTCGAAGGCTTTCAACATAATAAATCTGATCGTGTTATCCAGACTGGTAGGGGCTTGAAAATGTGCAGCATGATCTGGGGCGGGTGAAGAGCGTATATTGTCTGTTTTTATAAAGAAATAATGCCATGCTGTAATGCCCTCTAATCCTTCCATCCCTTACTTGTTTTCATAAAGTATTTCCTGCATACAAACGTTTTGCAGAAATGATGGAAAATTCAGCTGCTGAAAAATGGAGTTCTTTCCACCCCCTATTATATCTCAGCTTCACCACAAGGGGGTGAAGTTGTAAGACTAATATATTCTGCATAGAATCACAGAATTGTAGAGTTGGAAGGGACCCTGTGGATCATCTAGTCCAACCCCCTGCGATGCAGGAATATGAGACCTGTGGGTATAGGGCAGGATCTAAATTTTAATAATGATAATGCAGCTGTCCCTTACGGGGATTGAACCTGCAACCTTGGCATTATCGGCACCAGGTATGTTTACTCGGATGTAAGACCCACTCTGGTCACTTGGACTTACCTCCAGGTAGGCGTGCACATGGGACTGTAGCCGCAGTCGCCACAGAAGAATTAAAGGGGAATTGTGGGCATTTTCCTGTGGGAACGTGATTTTTATAAACCCAATTTTCGTCTCTGCTTCCCTTTTGGCCCACAGGGCAAAAAGCCTCACATTCCATACCGGGACAGCAAGCTTACCCGCCTCCTAAAGGATTCTATCGGTGGGAACTGCCGGACCATAATGATAGCCGCCGTTAGTCCCTCTGCGCTTTCCTACGAGGACACCTACAACACCCTAAAGTATGCCAACCGAGCTAAAGAGATCAAACTCCTAGTAGGTATCAGAGAAAGGCAACCTCTTAAATCAGGCCGGAATTGCAACTTGTGCAAAAATGCAACGGCCTACCTCTGTTCCCCATCTCAAAATCACCTGCTTTCTGTGCTTTGTCCTGGCCTGCAGATGAAAAGCAACGTGGTCAGTGTGGATTGCCATATCAGCCAATATGCAGCAGTTTGTGAGCAGCTGAAAGCAGAGGTAAGCAGACCCTTTTCCCCCTTTGGGTGGGAACCTGGGGAAGAGCGGGGGATCGTCGTATAATGAAGCCTTCTTCACGAGGGGTATGGTAGTCCATAGGTACTAGTCACGTTGACTTACGTAACCTCCAGAATTAGCCAACAGCCCTGGCCAGTGGTGCGTTTTTGAATTGCTAGACAAGGTATGCAATCCCTCTGTCTGGTTAAAAGTTTCATCGCAGTGCCAAGGAGCTCAAAACTATGCTGTGTGGCAGTCCAAGCTGTCGATTCTTGCTGTCTAGCTGCAAATCGATGCTTTACTTTCTCTCTCCCACTCCCTGTTAGCATTGCCATATCATTGTCCTTTTGGGGGAACCCAGCGGCCTGTGCCGGATTACCAAATTGGCAGAGCAGGTCCCCCATGCCTTTTAGGGGTCTTGCAACAACGGATCAAAATTAATACTGATTTGATCTTGAAAGAAAATGACAATCAAGCTTTCTTAGTTCAATGTTATCCCACTAGAGTATTCACATGGGGTGGGCAAGAGTGATTTCGACTGCCGTGGGGCCTTCGCAGGGTTTAATCCGGCACTGCCAGAGGCCTAGTTAGAAATCTAGAAAACTGGTGTGGCCACCAGAAAACACACCCTTTACGGAAGAAAAAACTGGTGAGTCTCAGTAAGCAACAGGAAAAACACCTGAGCGCAGCCCCAAACAAGTGAAACACAGGCAGAAAACACCCACTCAAAAGCCGTAAAACTTTCATTTATTCTTTTGAGGAAGAGCAGGTGTCAGGAGGGTTGTCTGAGGGTGCCCACGGGTGCCGTGTTGAAGACCCCAGATACAAATGCAGTGGTGCCCCGCAAGACAAATGCCTCGCAAGACGGAAAACCCGCTAGACGAAAGGGTTTTCCGTTTTTGAGTTGCTTCGCAAGACAATTTTCCCTATGGGCTTGCTTCGCAAGACGAAAACGTCTTGCAAGTCTTGCGATTTTTTTCCCCGCTCCCCCCCCCTTTTTCTAAGCCGCTAATAGCCTTTTAGCAGCTAAGCCGCTACGCCTTTAATTGCCGCTAAACCGCTAATAGCGCTAATCCGCTAAGCCGCTAATAGGGTTGCTTCGCAAGACAAAAAAACCGCTAGACGAAGAGAATCGTGGAACGGATTCTTTTCGTCTTGTGAGGCACCACTGTGTTCCCTTCAGGCCATGTTCCACTCGGAGAGGTCCTTAGAACTAGTCCTCCGTAGAAAGTCATTCAGGACATCACTGTAAACAATTAAAAACACTGGCAGGATTTTTTTAAAAAAACACTTGCAATGTGACAGGAACTATGGTGATAACCAATTTTTAAAGAAAATATGGAGAACATTATACAATGCAGCTGGAAAAGAGTAACTATGGAACCCGTGGAGGGAAGTCTAGGGATTCAGAGAATCCTATTTGTATATGATTATGATTTACACGTGAATGCAAATGTTAAATGGAAAATCGAAACCATGGTTGGTTTGTAATAAAGACAGTACACTGCGATCTTGGGAACTTCGCCCTGTGTGCGAAATAAATTAAAAAAAATTACGCCTTTCAGGTGGCCGAATTAAGAGGGCGGCTCCGAGCTTATGAGGAAAATGTCCCAGAGGTTAGACCCCACCTTGCACCGGCTGTTCTGACTCCTTCCAGACCTGGCCAGGATGAGCTTCTCAGGTAGGTCTGCTGTGTCTTACTACACAGGAAGATTGGAGTCGATACCTTTTGATACGGACAGGACTGCAAGAAGCCTGTGCAAAGTGAGACATTTAAAGCTGAAATCTGGCCAGTCATAGACCCCAGGATTTGAAGGATCTGTTTCAGCCCGAAGGCCTCCTCACAGCCTCTTCTTTTGCCTCCCTAAAAACCTAGGCTCCTATTTTTTCTAAGATATTCAGAGCCATGCAGTCCTTAAAGTTCCCTTTTTCTTTTTTTTTTACCACAGCAACCACGAGGCCTAGAAATTTGCCTCAATTTAGAAAACAGATTCTCAAGTGTTGTGGATCCACTGTCAGAAGGCTTCGTCAACAATAATAATTTAATAATAATATTTTTTTTAAAAAAAAATATATCCTGCCCATCTGGCTGGGCAGCTTACAACATATATAAAAACACAACAAAACATCAAACATTTAAAGAAAACAAAATATCCTATGCAAGCAGCAAACAGACCAATAAATCAATAGAAACCAACAATAACAATAATAACAGCAATAATAAACAGTTTATAGTCATGCCCAAATTAAAATAAAATGCCCGCATCCACACCATGCTGAGAGCTATAGTTTGTTTAGGGTGCTGAGAGTTGCTAGAATATACACACACACCCCGCTCCCCTCACGGAACTACAATTCCCAGATTTCCCTAGGAAGTGGAGTGGATTGTTAAACCGCTCTGAGAGGGAAGGGAGGGGCTCCGAACAACTCTTTCTTCACCCTTAACAAACTACAGCTCCCAGAATTCTTTGAGGGAAGCAGCAAGTGTTTAAAGTGGCATAACAGAGCTTTCAATGCACGCTATGTGAACATCTAGTGTTAACTACTTGTATCGCTGGGGCAGGGCCGGATTTAGGTTTGATAAGGCCCATAGCTACTGAAGGTAATGGGGCCCTTTATATGTCCAGCTGTCCTTTGTCAACAACAAATTGTCGCAGTTTTTTGTGTTGAATATAGGCTATATGGTAATTTATGGACCTAATAGGTATCTAAAGCCATTTGCACATAACAAAATATGTATTTTATCAAAGTAATTGTTGAACTGAAATACAATTAAGAAGAAGTATATTAATAGTGAAATACAATTACGAAGAAGTATATTAATAGTGAAATAATTATTAAGCCCTAACTTAAAATGATTTTTTATTCATAACAAACTTAATAATGCAAACACATTGGCATTTGGCAATAACAAAAATTCCTTTAGAAACACAATTTACAAAGACTCATAATCTAGTCTCTAGAAACTTGCTATAACATGAAATAGTAACAGCAAACCAGTGATATTTTAGGGAGCAGGCTAGCAGGCCGGGGCCCATTACTTACATCATAGGAGCTGACACAACACAAAACACTGTTGCCGTATGTAGGTTTTATTTTATTTATTTGTTTTTTATCTTATATTTTGGAAATGTACATCCAGGTTTGTTTTTTCCCCTTTAAATTTTTGGGGAGGCCCCCAAGTGAGTGGGGACCTAAGCTATAGCTTGTTTAGCTTATATGTAAATCTGGCACTGCACTGGGGGAACGAGAGAGGTACGGATCGTTTAATTGCCTACCCAGGGCGGGAGTGGGCCGTGGATGAGAATAAAACCGGCTGAGAGCTGGTGTCATGTCTAGGAGCCCAAGCTATGAAACAGGACGCCCTTGGTTTGAATTTCACCTCCACTGCAGACTTTCTCAAACAGAGCAAGACTGTGCCCCCAGAAGCAGGGCACGGGAAGGTTAGACCAGATGTCCTTTGGGTTTCCTACCAGCGCTTGGTAGAGAATGGTTGGTGACACCCCACTCCTGCACTTGGTACAGGTCAAAGGAGGCTTGTTCCGACTGCGAAGCCCCGGAGAAGGGCAATGGCGAGGCAGAGCTGTTGAAACCGAATGATGGTGCCTCTTCTTCAGGAAAAAGCACGGCAGAGCAGGTAAGGGCCAGGAAGTTTGTGGGATGGGCATCGAGGTCAGGAGATCTCAGCATGTAGATCCTTTTTCCTGAGGCTTTTCCACCCAGAGATCCACTCAGTATCTGCAGTGCCTCTCTTAAAAGATTCACACGTGGTTGTTTTTATAACTGACTGCTGAGACCGTTTCTCGGCTAATCCTGGAGCACCCCACAAGGATTGCCCCACGGGGCAGCAAGTGGATTTGTGGGTGCTTTGATCAGCACCCTGAGGGTGTTCTTTTATCATCCGCACCCAGAGGAATTGGGAGTGTTGCATGACATCGCAGCAGCTCGTCCAAGTGTGTGTTGTTTTTTAAGAATAAATAAATTTATTTATTTGGTTTTTCAGATTAAACTTTTACAATCACATATCCAACATACAACATAAAAGCCAAGATTCCAAAGAATCTCCTGGAATTCCCTCCTCCCCTTTGTGGGTCCTATTGCTAATCATTTCCTCCCGCATCTTTTATGATAATCCAAATCTTTTACATCTCCATTATGTCCAAAATTCACCTTTAACTACAATCGGTTATTGAGATCATCCAATTGTCAGGTGGGCATGTTGCACACGATGGGTAGAATATAGCATCTGGTATATATCATACCAGATATGTGGCATAATGGGACGCGGGTGGCGCTGTGGGTTAAACAACAGAGCCTAGGGCTTGCCGATCAGAAGGTCGGCGGTTTGAATCCCCGCGACGGGGTGAGCTCCCGTTGCTCGGTCCCTGCTCCTGCCAATCTAGCTGTTCGAAAGCACATCAAAGTGCAAGTAGATAAATAGAACTTTGGCGGGAAGGTAAATGGCGTTTCCGTGCGCTGCTCTGGTTCGCCAGAAGCGGCTTAGTCATGCTGGCCACATGACCCGGAAGCTGTACGCCGGCTCCCTCGGCCAATAAAGCGAGATGAGCGCCGCAACCACAGAGTCGGTCACAACTGGACCTAATGGTCAGGGGTTCCCTTTACCTTTACCTTTTCCTATATATTATACAAATTTTACACCAGCATACCCCCCCCCCGACACACACCTTTTCGCTGTGTTTGATAGATTCAGGAACTGGGGGGTAACCCCAGCTTCTGTGGCACAGAGTCCTCAGATCCAACTGAGAAACAGGAGAAGCTGAATGCTCGGTTGCAAGGAATGGATAAAAAGCAGCTGATGAGGTGAGTCGATGTCTTTCCACCCGATCCAGGGAGAGCGAGGTCCTCTTATTCTGCCGTCTCATGCAGGTTTAAGCACATACCGGGTTGGCAGTCAAATTGATGTCACATACATTTCATTCTTTCCAAAATACAGTGGTACCTCGGGTTACAAACACTTCGGGTTACCGACTCCGCTAACCCGGAAGTAGTATCTCGGGTTAAGAACTTTACCTCAGGATGAGAACAGGAATCGCGCGCAGGCAGCAGCGGGAGGCCCTATTAGCTAAAGTGGTACCTCAGGTTAAGAACAGTTCCAGGTTAAGAACAGACCTCCGGAATGAATTAAGTTCATAACTAGAGGTACCACTGTACAGTAGTACCTCGGGTTACATTTGCTTCAGGTTACAGACTCCGCTAACCCAGAAATAGTACCTCAGGTTAAGAACTTTGCTTCAGGATGAGAACAGAAATCGTGCTCTGGTGGCGCGGCGGCAGCTGGAGGCCCCATTAGCTAAAGTGGTACCTCAGGTTAAGAACGGTTTCAGGTTAAGAACGGACCTCCAGAACAAATTAAGTTTGTAACCAGAGGTACCACTGTACTGCTTATATGCAGGGTGCAGAAGGAGCCATGCCGATTCCTTTCTGCTCTTTTGCAGCATACACAACATACATTCAAAGTACGCGACTTTCCCCACCCACTTGAATCCTGGGACCTGGAGTCTTTCACTCTGTGAAAGGCAAACTATAGTTCCCCAGGTTTCTTTGGGGGAAACCATGTGCTTTAATCGTACGTTGCACACACAGCCTTTGCTCCCGACTCTCCCATTGTGATCCCATGGTGATTTTCGATCTTCCTTACTGTCTCAGGCTGGTAACGTCAATCTTGCACGTGGCACAAAGGCAGTATGCCCTTCTGAAAGCTGCCAACCTCCTCACCCCGGACACGAGGCTCGACTTTGAAGGCCTGGGCAGCTTGGTGTTGGGAGAGGCCTGTGAGGCCCCAGAAGTTTCCGCTGTAAAGGAGCAAGTTGGGGAACTGGATGCGGCTACTCGAGGCAGCCTGGAGCCAGAAGTGCAGCAGCTCGTGGATAATGGTGATTCTTGGGGGGAGGGGACAGCATTGAAATTAATTTTAATTTTCTTTATTTGTTGGATTCATATACCGTCCTATACCCGGAGGTCTCAGGGCGGTTCGCAGAACAAAATCAGAATATAAAACCACAAAATATATCATCAAAATAAAACAACAACCCAATAAGCCCCACAACCACATTTTAAAAGGGCATAGGATCAAATCAACCAAAGACCTGGTTAAAAAGGAACATTTTTGCCTGGCGCCTAAAGGTGTATAATGAAGGCGCCAGGCGAACTTTCCTGGGGAGAGCATTCCACAGATGGGGAGCCACTGCAGAAAAGGCCCCGTTCCTGTGTTACCACCCTCCGAACCTCTCTAGGAGGAGGCCTGCAAAGAAGGGCCTCAGAGGATGATCTCAGGGTCCAGGTGGGTTCATATGGAAAGAGGCGGTCCTTGAGGTATTGCGGTCCTGAGCCGTTTTTAGGTTTTATGGGTCAAAACCAGCACTTTCAATTGGACCCAGAAACTAATTGGTAGCCAGTGCAGTCAGATCAGAAATAGCAGTGAATGTGATTGGCTGAGTGCAGGGTTCCCCCATTGGCTGACTGGGGGGTTGGCTGAGTGAAGGGTTCCCCCATTGGCTGACTGGGGGGATGGCTGAGAGAAGGGTTCCCCCATTGGCTGACTGGGAGGTTGGCTGAGTGAAGGGTTCCCCCATTGGCTGACTGGGAGGTTGGCTGAGTGAAGGGTTCCCCCATTGGCTGACGGGGGGGGGGGTTGGTTGATTGAAGGTTTCCCCCACTGGCTGACTGGGGGGTTGGCTGAGTGAAGGGTTCCCCCATTGGCTGACGGGGGGGGGTGGTTGGTTGGTTGATTGAAGGGTTCCCCCACTGGCTGACTGGGGGGTTGGCTGAGTGCAGGGTTTCCCCATTGGCTGACTGGGGGGTTGGCTGAGTGAAGGCTTCCCCCATTGGCCGACTGGGGGGTTGGCTGAGTGAAGGCTTCCCCCATTGGCTGACTGGGGGATTGGCTGAGTGCTGGGTTCCCCCATTGGCTGATTTGTCCAGTCTCCCAGGTCCATGCCCTTGGGTGTGCGTCTCTCTCTTAGGCTGCCAGTTTTCATTGCTCTCTCCCTCTCTGTTGCAGCTGCCCTCCCGCCTTCCCTTCCTGCAGCCGAGTGTGCCAATCCAACGGGCGGTCCTGGGGTCTTGCCCGCTTCACCAGCGAGGGCCCCAGTGCCAAGCGCAGCTTTCAAGACCCCCCACCTCCCAACAAAGAAGCGAAGGAAGTCAGCAGAGAGCCCACCGCTGTCCGAAAGGAGCTCCCCTTCCACCCCCAAGGGGCGGGCCAAGCGTCGGCGGAAGAATCCCCTCTCCCCACAGCAAGTGGGCTCCCTGAAGGAATGGGCTGCTTTCCCCCAGGCTGACTGCACCAGCACTCCTCTCGTGGATAAAGCCAGGTCTTCTAGTCCGTACAGTCTCCGCCCGCTGCCGTGCTGCCCTTTGACAGTTACGAAGACCCGTAGGCCTCTGGGCACCTCAGCCGCCCAGAATTGTTCAACGCCAGCTCCGCCGAGGGGCCTGAACACCACCTTTGACCTCTGCGAGGTTCCCTGCCCTCCTGACGTGAAACCCAGCGCTCCTGGATGCCCTGCCTGGGAGAGCGTCCAGCACCTCTCTAACCACCAGGGGGCACCTTTCATACCCAGGTGGGTGCCTCTGAGCTGCAAGGCCCTCTGCCATTTCCTTCCCTTTGCAAGAGGTTTGGCCCAGGGGGCCTCAGACACAAACTGTGCCAATACTTGTGGTTCCCAGTTTAAAGCGTAGGGGGCAGTCTCTGCCAAGCAGCAGGGAAGAATCCCACGAAACACAGTTCCTGCCTCCACTCTTACAAGTCAAAAAGACGTGGCACGAAAGGAAAAAGCAATGGGGAGGGTGGAGGAAAAGGATTACACTCAGACAACAAATTCCTGGTGTTACCAGGCTCTTCCAACGACCAGGTTGGGTGGAAATGGGCTGCTTGTAGTTCAGAAAGGAAAAAACAGGCCTGCGTGGCCTTTTGATAACCCAAACTTGGATCCCTTCCAGTCGGGATTCAGGCCTCATCATGGGACTGAAACTGCCTTGGTCGCACTGGTTGATGATCTCCGCGGGCTAGGGACAAAGGTGAGAGCTGTTTCCTAGTTCTGCTGGATCTCTCAGCGGCGTTTGATACCATCGACCATAACATCCTTCTGGACCGTCTAGAGGGGCTGGGAGCTGGGGGCAGTGTTATACAGTGGTTCTGCTCCTTCCTCCAGGGCCGTGTCCAGAAAGTGGTGTTGGGGGATGAGTGTTCAGACCCCTGGGCTCTTACCTGTGGGGTGCCTCAGGGTTCTGTCCTCTCCCCCATGCTTTTCAACATCTACATGCAACCGCTAGGAGAGATCATCAGGGGGTTTGGGCTGGGTGTTCATCAGTATGCAGATGATACCCAGCTCTACCTCTCTTTCAAATCAGAACCAGTGAAGGTCCTGTGTGAGTGCCTGGAGGTGGTTGGAGGTTGGATGGCGGCTAACAGATTGAGGTTCAATCATGACAAGACAGAAGTACTGTTTTGGGGGGACAGGAGGCGGGCAGGTGTGGAGGATTCCCTGGTCCTGAATGGGGTAACTGTGCCCCTGAAGGACCAGGTGCGCAGCCTGGGAGTCATTTTGGACTCACAACTGTCCATGGAGGCGCAGGTCAGTTCTGTGTCCAGGGCAGCTGTTTACCAGCTCCATCTGGTACGCAGGCTGAGACCCTATCTGCCTGCGGACTGCCTCGCCAGAGTGGTGCATGCTCTGGTTATCTCCCGCTTGGATTACTGCAATGCGCTCTATGTGGGGCTACCTTTGAAGGTGACCCGGAAACTACAACCAATCCAGAGCGCGGCAGCTAGACTGGTGACTGGGAGTGGCCGCAGAGACCACATAACACCAGTCTTGAAAGACCTACATTGGCTCCCAGTACGTTTCCGAGCACAATTCAAAGTGTTGGTGCTGACCTTTAAAGCCCTAAACGGCCTTGGTCCAGTATATCTGAAGGAGCGTCTCCACCCCCATCGTTCTACCCGGACACTGAGGTCCAGCACCGAGGGCCTTCTGGCGGTTCCCTCACTGCGAGAAGCCAAGTTACAGGGAACCAGGCAGAAGGCCTTCTCGGTAGTGGCGCCTTCCCTGTGGAACACCCTCCCACCAGATGTCAAAGAGAACAACAACTACCAGGCTTTTAGAAGACATCTGAAGGCAGCCCTGTTTCGGGAAGCTTTTAATGTTTGATGTATTATAGTATTTTAATATTCTTTTGGAAGCCGCCCAGAGTGGCTGGGGAGGCCCAGCCAGATGGGCGGGGTATAAATAATAAATTATTATTATTATTATTATTATTATTATTATTATTATTATTATTATTATTATTATTATTAACGTCCTGGAAGTGGCTTTTATACATCCAAAAGTTGCTGTCCTTACAGACCTTCTGGACCCTAGCAGGAATCTACTTGTCACTCTTGCTGTGTCGGTTAAGGCTCTCCGTGGCCTAATTGGTACCATCACCTCCAGAGGAGATGGTACTGCTACGCTTCCTCACAGAGAGTTGCTTCTACAATCATTTTAAGTTGGGGAAATTGGGGAGGAAAGCATGAGCCCAGCTGTTAAAAGCAGCACAGGATGTTTCCCATTTCCCAGCAAAGTCTCCAAAAAGTGAAAACAGTTGAGACCTGTCTGCATTGCCTGAAAGTTCCTGGTCTTTAAGACAGCCTTGCAAATAGTTACTAGCCTGCAAGCATTTTTGCTAGCCGGTTGGGTTTGTACATTAGGTGCAGAGGAGAGCCAGAGCGCTCCCCTTCCTGGTTCCTCTGCCAGTCTTCTCATTCGCCTCCATTCAGTTCTTTGTCGCCTGCGGCCACCAGGCAAATATTTAGGTGCAAGGCCACTTTAAGAGGCGTGGACCTTTTTTTGGCAGCCAATCCCTGCCTTTGTCCCGTATCTCTTGGCGAATTAGAGGTGGCCAGTTTCCTTGGGGTGAGGAGGGGGTGGGCAGCCAAACCCTCCTGGAGGCTGTGCTTCTTGCATTTAACTCCTGCAATCCTTTCAGTTCCAGGGCGTCCATGCCAGTGTTCACCATGAAGGGCTCCTCCATTCCGCGATCGTCCTCCTTGGCCTCCAAAGCCTCAACGCAGAAGAGGAGGCACACCACAAAGTAAGCTCACTCTGCATTTTCAATAGGCTTGTCCTGGGAACACAGCTATGTCCTCCTGGCCCCGATTGAGGTCATCAAAACAATATTGATTTTACCAGGGTGCCATGGTGCCAGGTTGAGGATCCCCGCATTCAAGGCTGCCAAACCTACTTAAAAATATCGGTGAGAAGATGATCCCTGCCCTCAGGCTCCCAGCCAAAGAGGCATGATACAAAAGGAAAGGGGAGCTGGGAGGGAGGAGGAAAAAGCTCAGGCACTAATTCTAGGCAGTTGGTCCCTTACTTTTCTCGCCCTGATCTGGCGGCAGTGATCCATGTGACGGTCACCTCCAGGCTTGATTATTGTAACTCACTCTATGCGGGGCTGCCCTTGAAGCTGACCCAGAAACTCCAGCGGGTGCAGAATGCCGCAGCGAGGCTACTTACGGGGTCCTTCCCACGGGATCACATTCATCCAGTGCTTTACCAACTACACTGGCTCCAGGTGGAGTACAGGGTGAGGTTTAAGGTGCTGGTTCTGACCTTTAAAGCCCTATGCGGCCTAGGACCCACGTACCTACGGCACTGCCTCTCCTGGTATGCCCCACAGAGGACCTTAAGGTCCACAAATGACAACACTAGGGCCAGGGCCTTTTCAGTACTGGCCCCGACTTGGTGGAACACTCTGTCACAAGAGACTAGGGCCCCACGGGACTTGACATCTTTCTGCAGGGCCTGCAAGACAGACCTGTTCCGTCTGGCCTTTGGTTTGGACTCAGTCTGACCCTTATGTTTTCCCTCCCCTTATGGTTTTGATCCATGGGCTACTTTTAAAATGAGGCTGTATTTTAAATTGCATTTTAACCTGTATTTTAAATTATCCCCCCCATTATGTTTTTATTGTAATTTTACTGGTGTTAGCCTCCCTGAGCCCGGCTCTGGCCAGGGAGGGCAGGGTATAAATTGTTTGTTTGTTTGTTTGTTTATTATTAGAGGGCTTTTAATGAGGAGCAGGAACGGGGGGGGGGGGGATTGGAGAGGAGCTGAATGTTGCTGGCCTTTCTGCAAGGCTGCTGGAGAAGCCTTGCAACCCAATCTCTCTCCCTCTTTTTAGCCCCGCCTCCTACTCGCTGGGTGCACCACGCAGCCGCATTGCCAGGCTCCAGGGCACGTCACTCAAGTCTTCGCGGGTCACGAGCACGCCAGGTAAGCTGGGTCCGGCTAATAGTAGTGCAAGATCTCTGGTGTCTCTGCCCATATTCTCCCATACAGTTAAGCCCACAGAGCTCTGATTGTGAAGAGAACAGGGCTAGGGAATGCTTAAGGGGAAGAGCAGGCAGGAGAAGATTGGGAGGTGGAGAGATGCTGGAAGCTGAAGAGGTAAGAGGGTTTAGTGAGCAGGAGGAGTCTGGCAGAGAGCAGTCCAGAGGCAGAGGCAGAAGCAGAGGCTGGAGAGGAAGAAGGCCAAGAAGCGGTAAATGAGGTACCGTATTTTTCGCTCCATAAAGCGCACCTACTTTTTTTTGGGGGGGGGGTTTAAAGAAAAAAAATATGCGGCTCTTGGGGGATTTTGCGGGAGGTGGGGGAAGTGAGAGAGCCTCGCTCTGTCCCTTCCCCCACCTCCCGCAAAAGCCAGGGATAGTCGCGCGAAGCCTCCCTAGGGCAGCGGGATGAAGGCTCCCCTGCGGAGGCTTCCCGGGCTACCCCAGAGCTGCTCGACCCAAAGAACAGGTCGGGGAGCAGCGGAAAGGCTGCGCGCAGCCTTCCTGCTGCTCCCCGAGCTTGTGGGGCTGGCGGGGGAAGCCCGGGTTCCCAGCCCCAGGGACTACACATTCGCTCCATAAGATGCACAGACATTTCCCCTTAGATTTTAAGAGGAAAACAGTACATCTTATGGAGCGAAAAATATGGTAGGTTGCTGAAGAGTCACAGGTGTCTCCCCACCCCTGCTGTGACCAGCTTCCATCTCGCTTTGTCTCCCAGAACCAGAGGAGGCATGAAGAGAGCAGAGGAGAAGTTAGCTCCATGCAGGCACAGTCTCCGATTGCATAGGGAAAAACCCTGGAGAGAAGGGGACTTGGGCAGCTGTAGAGAGGTGCTTCGTGGGGGCAAGACCTGCCAAAAATGAGCTGCTGGGCTCATTAGGCCTGAAACGCCTGCGCAGGTCTATTTTTGCTAACGAAGAGTTACCTCCAACTCGCTCGGGCTGGGTTCCTGCTAGCTAGCTACTGTCAGTTTAATAGGACGAATGAGGCCCTTCCTTTCCCACCTTAGTTAGCTCCTACCTGCCTGCCTTCTTATTTACGTACAGCCAGTCAAGGGGTGGCTCTGACTGTCATTGGCTGTGGCTCCACTTATGGTTGTTCTCCCTGCCTTCCGCCTCCCAGTCCCATTGGGCACCAGTCGCTTGTGGATTTACCCGACAACTCCCTTCCTAATCTGGGCTCTCCCTACAGGACAACCCTCTGGCAATCCTGCATGGAAATGGCGCTAGGAAGATTCCGTCGCTCCTGAAGGATTGTACCCCATCTTCAGTTGTGTCGTATTCTATAAAGATGCCTTCCTGAAAATCCTCATTGCTCACTCTTTGGTCCCTCAGCATCTGTTGATGGCATATTATTCGGTATATTATCCTGTGTATTTAACATAATATATATATTAAAAATATATATAAAAAAACAAAAGCAGGAAAAGATAGATATATAGATATTCCTGCTTTTTTATATAGATTAGGGGTGGTTTTTTTAAAAAAAGAAACTTACCATAAAAAGCTTTAATAAAATGTATGATATATATATAGAGAGAGATGTAGAACAATGAAATATAAATTTATTTTTTAACATCATATCAAATATTACTTATGTCCTATTCTGGTTCGTCAGTTCTCACTTGTTTGTAATTCCATAAATTCACAAAATTCCAAATGAATGAATTATACATTTGCCCATTACCCTACACTTTATTCTTCCAAAACGTCATAAAGTTTGGCCAATGAAATGTTTATTTTCCTGTTCCCCCACACACTAGCAATATTTGTAAATTTTAAAGCACATCCCATATCCTCATCACCCAATCCCTTAAGGAAGGTGGTTCCCCCCTCCCTTTTCTTTTGTGACTAATTGTCATCTCTGTATCGACATAGAAAACCCATGATTTCGCATTACCAAATAAAATAACTACCAAGTCAAATGGTAATTTCTCCTCATCACATGTACTTTCTTTTGAATAGCAGGTGATTTTTTTCTTGTGCTTTCTGACCCTGTCTCCTGTATAAAGATGCCTTGTCACAAGGGCAAACAAAGATAACCTCAACAAATATAGTAACACGGAAGTGGACATTTCTCACTGGCTGCTCCAGTGTTGGAGAGCATTCTCCTTGCTGAAATAAGAATAGGCCCCATCAGTATTGGCATATCGCCGGCTTGTGAAGACGCTCCTGTTAAGACAATCCTTTCCCTGACTTGAAGCTCCTGCTCTAATTACTTGTAATTGCCGTTTTTACCCTTTTATTTGTTGTACTGTTTTTATGGGCTCCTTTTATTGTTGCATTTCAATTGGGGGTAAAATAAACACATTAACTGAAAACAATGCTTTGATGAAACTGCTTTGATGTGTATTATGCACTCTTATATTTTTGTCACCAGTTTTTATACAGTCGTACCTTGGATCCCGAACGTCTTGCAACTCGAACGTTTTGACCCCCGAACACCGCAAACCCAAAGTGAGTGTTCTGGTTTGCAAACATTCTTTGGAATCCGAACATCCTCCGCGGCTTCCAATTGAGTGCAGGACGCTCCTGCAGCAAATCGGAAGCCGTGTGTTGGTTGTCAAACGTTTTTGGAAGTCAAACAGACTTCTGGAACGGATTCCATTCGACAACCAAGGTACGACTGTACTCGTAAAGCAAAGCCATCCTGACAATCAAGCATCATATAAATAGATGATTATAATATCAAGTGTGTGGTCACAGCACACTAGAGCCACAGTTGCGAAGCCTGCTTCCTCGGCGCATATTCCTTCAGGACTGCAGCCTAATTTCTTGATGGGTTACTGTAGCACACTGGGAAACAGGACAGCTCAAGGGACTGTGACAGCCTTGCTCGGAAGCTCAGTGAGATGTGACTTTAGGGCTTTGCCAAATACAGAAGTGGAAAGGAGAAGGACTGTGAGCTCTGACCTTTTGAGCTGGGTCCTGGTGAACTCAGTGTCTTGCTGGCTCTTTATTGGTGAATAGTAAGAGGGGGATGGGTGGGGAAACAAAGGGATTATTGGGGCACTGTGAAATACAGTCATACCTCCGCTTACGTATCCCTCTGGATACATAAACTTCGGGATGCGAACACGGCAAACCCAGAAGTATTTTTCCAGGTTTTGCCGTGCGCGCATGCGCAGAAGCGCTCCTCCAGTTGTGAATTCCTCGGGATGTGGCTGGACCTCCGAAACGGATCCCATTTGCAACCGGAGGTAAAGGTAAAGAGACCCCTGACCATTAGGTCCAGTCGTGGCCGACTCTGGGGTGGCGGCACTCATCTCGCTTTATTGGCCGAAGGAGCCGGCGTACAGCTTCCGGGTCATGTGGCCAGCATGACTAAGCTGCTTCTGGGGAACCAGAGCAGCACACGGAAACAACGTTTACCTTCCTGCTGGAGTGGTACCTATTTATCTACTTGCACTTTGACGTGCTTTCAAACTGCTAGGTTGGGAGGAGCTGGGACCGAGCAACAGGAGCTCACCCCATCGCGGGGATTCGAACTGCCGACCTTCTGATCGGCAAGGCCCTAGGCTCTGTGGTTTAACCCACAGCACCACCCGTGTCCCGAGGTATCACTATATTATTATTGGATGACAAATGCCACTCTATCCTGCTTTGGTCAGACCACACCTGGGATATTGTGTCTGGTTCTGGGCATCCCCATTGAAGAAGGCTGTTGACAAGATGGAACGTGTGCAGAGGAGGGCAGTCAAGATGATTAAGGGTCTGGAAACCAAGTCGTATGGGGGATGGTTGAGGGAGTTGGGCATGTTTAGCCTGGAAAAGAAGAGACTGAGAGGAGATGATAGCCATCTTCAAACATCTAAAGAGCTGTCACATGGAGGATGGAGCGAGCTTGTTTTCTCCGGAGGCGGGCCCCCAAACCAACAGCTTTCAAGTTACAAGGAAGGAGATTCCTACTAAACATCAGGAAGAACTTTCTGACAGTAAGAGCTGTTCGACTGTGGAACAACAGGCTCCCTCGGAAGATGGTGGACTCTCCTTCCTTGGAGATTTTTAAGCAGAGGTTGAGTGGCCACCTGCCACGGATGATCTAGTTGAGATTCCTGCATTGCGAGGGGTTGGACTAGATGACTCTTGAGGTCCCTTCCAAGTCTGCAGTTCTGTGATAAGGCTATGAGTGGCCTACCTCCATTTTCGGAGGCAGTACGTGTCTGAATATCAGCAGCTGGGAACTGCAGGTGGGGAGAGGGTGGTTATGCTAACGTCCTGCTCAAGAGGCTTCCCACAAGCATCTACAGTTGTACCTCGGGTTACATACGCTTCAGGTTACATACCCTTCAGGTTACAGACTCCGCTAACCCAGAAATAGTGCTTCAGGTTAAGAACTTTGCTTCAGGATGAGAACAGAAATAGTGTTCCGGCGGCACGGCAGCAGCAGGAGGCCCCATTAGCTAAAGTGGTGCTTCAGGTTAAGAACAGTTTCAGCTTAAGTACGGACCTCCAGAACAAATTAAGTACTTAACCCGAGGTACCACTGTATCTAGTTGGCTACTGTGAGACCAGGATGCTTGGCTTGGTGGGCCGCTGCCTTGACCCAGCAGCTCTCTTCGTACACTCAAATCGCCCAAATTTGTGATTTACTTGTGGGAAAGCGATCCCTTAAACCGGCCTTCAAAAGCTTTTGCTGGAGGAGAAGCATTTTTAGAAAGCCAAGCCATTCGACGCAAGGGGAACTTCGGGCCTGAGAGAGCCCCGCGATCCAATCTGCACGTTGTCCTGAGCGCAGCAAGCAGTTCAAATTGCGCCGGGTTCCTGACACGAACTCTTCTGACAGCCCATCGTCCATCTTTGGCTAGCCCCAGGATTAAAAGATCTGTATCTGAACATTCTCCCTCTGGGGAGATGTTACCCACCCCCTTCCCAACACACACACTCCTGCCACGCTTCCTGACCTAGTTTAGAATAGAGCTTGTCTTGTCAAGAAAACTGGCCGCAGATGGGGCCCGGCTTGGCATTCTTAGAGGCAGAAAGATTATAATTAAAACTCCCAAACTCCCTTTGAGTAGGTGCCTCTCATTAGGAAGCGATGGGAAGCAGAAAGTCCAATTTCGTATCCGCTCGCTAAAGCGACGGGCATATTTCTATCCCCCCTCCCCCCGATAATTTTCCACCTTTGATCTCGTCTTGCGTAGGTGCTGTGGAGCAAAGAATATTCAGGGGAGATTTAGCTGAGATTCTTGCCGGTCACCCCAAAGACCTTCTTCCCCTTCCCAGCCCTCGTTCTTAATATGCTCCCGCTCTTCTTCACATGCCAGGCCTCGCCTCGCTCAAGTGCAAAGCCGTCACCTCAGAGATAACAAGCCTGGTGAAGCAGAAGAGAGGGGCGCCTGTCTCGGTTCAGGCCTCCACCTACCTGTTCGCAGTCTGGAAGCGTTGCAGGGATGCAATTAAACACCACACAGCTCTGTGTGGTCGAGCAGAGAGGGGGGAGGGAGGGAGACCTGTTTGTGCTCTGGAGAAGTCTGATTTATTAGTGAAACGCAGGTGCGAGGTCTGGTTGAGTTCGGTGCTTCGTTCTCTCAGTGAAATTGATTGATTCCCCCCACCCCCAATAAAAGGGTTGACATGGTATAAACTGGGGAGACCTGTTTTTAAACCCTTGCTCAGCCATGAAGGTCGGCGGTTCGAATAAGGTCGGCGGTTCGAATCCCCGCGGCGGGGTGCGCTCCCGTTGTTCGGTCCCAGCGCCTGCCAACCTAGCAGTTCGAAAGCACCCCGGGGTGCAAGTAGATAAATAGGGACCGCTTACTAGCGGGAAGGTAAACGGCGTTTCCGTGTGCGGCTCTGGCTCGCCAGAGCAGCGATGTCACGCTGGCCACGTGACCCGGAAGTGTCTCCGGACAGCGCTGGCCCCCGGCCTCTTGAGTGAGATGGGCGCACAACCCTAGAGTCTGTCAAGACTGGCCCGTACTGGCAGGGGTACCTTTACCTTTTTACCAGCCATGAACCTCCCCAGGAGACCTCGGACCCTTAGTTATCTCTCTGCCTAATATTATCACCTCACGAGGTTGTTATGAGGATAAAACGGGGGTTTGACCATGGGCATAGCCAGGATTTATGTTAGAGGGGGGCAGGACACCATCCTCTGTCTGGCTGTGTCTAGCAGATTTGGAATAATAATAATAATAATAATAATAATAATAATAATAATAATAATAATAATAATAATAATAATTCATTATTTATACCCCGCCCATCTGGCGCAGCTTCTCCAGCCACTCTGGGCGGCTCCCAATCGAGCGTTAAAAACAATACAGCATCAAATATTAAAAACTTTCCTAAACAGGGCTGCCTTCAGGTGTCTTCAAAAAGTCAGGTAGTAGTTTATTTCCTTGACATCTGATGGGAGGGCGTTCCACAGAGCAGGCGCCACTACTGAGAAGGCCCTCTGCCTAGGTTTCCTGTGACCTCACTACTCGCAGTGAGGGAACCGCCAGAAGGCCCTCGGTGCTGGATGTCAGTGTCTGGGCTGAAAGATGGGGGTGGAGATGCTCCTTCAGGTACACTGGCCGAGGCCGTTTAGGGCTTTAAAGGTTAGCACCAACACTTTGAATTGTGCTCGGAAACGTACTTGGAGCCAATGCAGATCTCTCAGGACCGGTGTTATGTGGTCTCGGCGGCTGCTCCCAGTCACCAGTCTAGTTGCCGCATTCTGGATTAATTGCAGTTTCTGGGTCACCTTCAAAGGTAGCCCCACGTAGAGCACATTGCAGTAGTCCAAGCGGGAGATAACCAGAGCATGCACCTCTCTGGCGAGACAGTTCACAGGCAGGTAGGGTCTCAGCCTGCGTACCAGGTGGAGCTGATAGACAGCCGCCCTGGACATAGAATTGACCTGCGCCTCCATGGACAGCTGTGAGTCCAAAATGACTCCCAGGCTGCGCACCTGGTCCTTCAGAGGCACAGTTACCCCATTCAGGAATGAAATATGTTGACAACAGTTGTTTTAAATTGCTTTCTTTTGACTCCCAAGTGCTCAGAAAAATCTGTCAAAATCTTTCTACAATTTCTACTTTTAGTTAAGTATTTTTATTTATTTACTGGACTTTTTTGGGGGGGGAGAGCTGCTCTCCTGGCTACACCCATGGGTTTGATACATGCACACTGACCCATACACAGCTTTGAGCTGCTAGGCGGGAAGGCAGTGTGGAAGGATGGTAGATTGTAAATTGGTAGCTTGGTTGCATGGCTTGTAGGCTATGCCTCTGCCGGTCCCCTGGAATGGATGGCAGGTACATCTGAACATAGGGACGCGGGTGGCACTGTGGTCTAAACCACTGAGCCTCTTGGGCTTGCCAATCAGAAGGTTGGCA